ACTTGTATGGGGTTCGATAAAGAGCTCCGAACTCTGACCACTAATTGCCGTTGAAGTAGAAAGTTGGCGATTCAGCTTAAAAGTTTGTCACCGATCCCGTAACACTGCAGCTTGGAGAGTAGTATCCGATGATCTAGACGATCGAAAGCCTTGGAAAAATCCAGGTAGATCACATCAACACCCCTTCCAGCGTCTGCTGCCTCGGTCCAACTACTGCGTGCAATCAGTAAGTTTGTTGTACATGACCGCTGGCGACGGAAACCGTGCAGCTCAGGGGTGATGCTGTTACAGTTTTCCAGATAGCACACCAGTGCATCAGCAACTATGGATTCCATGACCTTGGGAATATAGGTAGAAAGGATACTGGGCGGTAGTTGGAGGGATCAGTCCTGCTTACATCCTTATGAATCGGGGTTATTATTCCAAGGTTCCACATCGTGAGAACTTGGTTCCGGTCTAAGCAGCGCTGGAAAAACTGAGCTAATGGTCCTGCCAATTGGTTTGCTGCTGTTCCGAATGCCTCTGGACGAATGGTGTCGACACCCGGCGAGCTGCGTTTGAGTAGAGACGTCAGCTTTTGCAATAAAGCCTCCGCGGTAAAAATGATGTGGGTTAGTCCTGGCAAGGAGAAGCCAAAGCTTGGTAGATCGCTTGGTGGCAAGACTCTTTGAAACGTGGGGGCGTATTGCATCTGCAGCGCGTTTGCTGCTTCCACAGCCGTTCTTGTTGGGCCATCAGCCGTCCTGAGTGGAAGAATTCCTTGCCTCACCTTTCGTAGGCTATTAACGTGCTTGTGCAGCATTTTGTGGTTAGCACTAAAGGTTTTGGCGATGTTCTGCTGATAGGCGGCTTTGTCTTCTCTTAACAGTTGAGTGCAGTGGTTACGTTGGGCTAGGTAGCTCTCCCGAATTCGTGTGCTGGAGCTACTCTGTACACTCGTAATGCTGCGTTGCGTACTGTCATCCATTTTCCAGTTCTGCTCCCAACGTACGAAACTGACTTACCCTTATAGCGAACTTTTATCTCTGAAGCCTGTGCAGTCAGCTAACTGAATTTTTTGACGAACTCGAGCCAGCCGACTTCCGGGGGTTCTTCTTCGAGGAACGACCAAGTTGTGGCGCTGGCGAGCTGGGCTAATCGATCGTAGCTTGTGATGGTTGACACAGTCTCATCGTTCTCATTCAGATATTCTGCATAGCAGACGAAGTTGAAACTGATGACTGCGTGATCACTGCGACCCAACGGGCAGTCTAAAACCAACGCCCCAATCATATGCTCCTCGTTGGTAAGCACAAGATTCAGCACAGATTGCTTGTTACCAATTCTGAACCGAGTGGGCAAAGTGATGTGGTTGTAAAGAGGAACAGCAGTTACTAGATCTTGTAAATCGGTTTTGAATTGTTCTTCGATCGTGGCAGGGGCTTCTAAACAATGTACGTTAAAATCACCCATGATAAGAATGTGAGTGTACTTTTGTTGTAAACTGCACCTTAAATCAGCCGCTAGGTGGTAGTCGGTTTCGGGTGTTGAGTTAGGGGCGCGGTACACCAAGACAATAAGGCAAGCGTCCCTGCCTTTTAACTGCAACCGGTACCAAAGGGAGTCGGGAAACTGAGAGTCTAAATCCTCCACGGCTTCGCACTGTAAGTTGTTTCGGTAATACAGGATTACCCCTCCTCCTTTTGTGAGGCTGTCGTTCCGGATCAGCGACATGCCCGGTAGCGAAACTTCAGCGTTCGTCATTCCCGTGTGCAACCAGGTCTCGGAGATACCAATGACATCATATGACCCGGAAGCTTGACGATCTTTCAGTTCGGCTAGTTTATTAAAAAGATCCTGAGCATTTGTATACAAGCAGGCCAGTTTCTCGGTCTCTAGGAGCCCGCAGAGAGGTGAAGCTGTCAAGTGTGGGAGAATGCCGACCGATGAGAGGTCTGCAGTTACTCGCTTTATGATGGGACAATGATACCCCGTTTGCAACTTGATTCGGCCAAGGTGCGTCCCAGCCTTCGTTTAGACCTACTTCAGAGTCAATTAAAGCAGCAGTCAAGTTACACTTCTGTACATTCGTCAGTATGCTTGCTGCTTCAGTTGCTTTAATATTTGAACTGTGCAAAGCGTTTGCGACCTTTAACCGAATTTTTCGATTTCCTCGCCATCGATCTAAGACATCCTTTGCTTTTTGCTCTGACGGAACCACAAGTTTTAGGATTCTAGGTCCGAATCCTCCATAATTTGATGAGAGAGGTATCCTGGTGAGCGATAGTGTCACAATATTATCCAAAGAAAGTGTTTCACAAATGAACCGCCACTGTTCTAAATCGTGCTTTCCGGTATCTTGAACATGGTTAGAAGGATGTTCTGGCACGCCATGTATGAAGATTGTGTTTAAGCGGTTTTGCTTGCTGTGCCCCTCTTCGGTGTTTCTTTTTGGTTGTCGTGCGCTCCAAGGGACGTCATTATCGATACGCATTCCAAAGGATCCGAGTTTTAGCGCGCTTGCGGAGAACAAAAACTTTTATACGTCGGTGGAAGATTCCAGTGTTACTCGAATAATTTTGGGCTCTTCATAGTGTGGCGAGTTTGGATGATGAGTAATTCGTAATAATTTTATAGCCTTGGCTTGGATACTTATATGCATACACAATGAGTTCCATTGGTCTTGGTCGTCTGATAACTTATCTCGCAATGTGATGGCGGTAGATTCAGGGACATTTGAGCGTGCAACAGTCCGGACACTGTTGTTGGATCCCTTTTTCGTTTATCTACGAGGTATGGTACCCGTTTGTCTTGACCCGCTGATAAGTGTTGATTGCTTGCTGTTTGTCCCTTTACTCGCGTTAACCATTTTTACAATGGAAGAGGCCGAAACGACGGCCTTTCGGTGGACCTTTGCACCAATCTCTGCATATGTAACTGATGTTCTGGGAGGCTTAGTCTCGACAAGAGATATTTGAGCTACAGGTACCAAGGGTTGGTGTTCGGCTGCTTCATCCTTGTTAATGCTAGATGTTAGGTCTAGTGGAATTTGCTTAACCAAATGTTTTCAGTGGAGCCTGACTTTCGTTGCCGTGAGTACTGGTTGACTCTCTTAGGTACGGTCTGTTTTCGCCCGGCATTCTACCAGTGGGAGAAGACAACAGAGATGGAGACGTAGATGATTGCGGTTCAGGGGAAGCGGATTGTTCGGCATTCCGTTGCTTAGAAGCCACTAGGCTTCTGTGATGCATACTCGCTTCCATTGAAGTAATCTTATCGTTTATCCTCTGTTCTGCTTCTGCGGTTAACCGGTCGCATTTCTGAGCTAGGATGAGCAAGCACTTAACGAGGGGGATGGTGGAACACGCAGTAAAGAACCAAAATGCATCTTGGGAGCAATTTCGCTCCCGTACCTGTTGTTGGGACACATTTGCACATTTCGTGATACCATTCCAAACAGTGCGAGCAAGCCAGACCGATTTTTACTACCCGATGTCATTCTCCTAACCCGCAAATGCCTTTCGCTTGGAGCCGCTTCGGTTTCGCATTTCTGCCATTCAATTTGGTGTCGTTACCTGACCCAGTGGGTTGGTTAACGTTCCGTACTTTTACAGCTTTGAGAGCGGCGCACATCGGTCAGGCGAGCGTGGTATTTACAAGGTCAAATGAGCGGTCGGCGTGGTCGCGCGGTCCATGTGATGGGTTATGCAGGCGCACTGGCTGACAAGGTCACAAGGAATGGCGAGTGACAGGAACCTGAACAGAGCGCTGAACACAGATTGACAGATCACAAGTGATTTGGTTATTATTGCGAAGGCCGATCCACATTGTTACTTGTGGCTGCCGTACTGCTAAACTGCGATCAGTGGATAATTGGAGTCAGCAAGTCCCTGAGTTTTCGGTAAATAACATGGAAAACAATAGTGGGTAAAAGTGTGCTTTTGCAACACCGCAAACTCAAGGACAACTGGTAGCTTTACAGATTAATTCAAGGGCCACCGTCAAACTACTGTCCCGGAAACTTTGCATTGGATTTGAGTGCAGGGAAACACGAAATTGTCTCACGATGCAGTACGGCTGGAAGCTGCAGCCTAAATGGATCTCTGCCTTAAATGTTGTTGTGGTAACAAGTAACTTTCAACGAGATTCTTTGCAGCATGTTAACTGAATGGCGCAGCACGCCTAAGAAAAAGGCAGACAAGAGAGTTCAGCGTCTGCTGTCTTGCGGCAAAAGGACGCAGCTACAGGCAGCTGTGGATATGACACAACCTAACGGTACTTTGACTACTCGTTTTCGATACGGCCTGTGAAAGATACGGCGGCAGGCAATGAGGTATTACGTTCCCAAATCAAACCAACAATTAGCTGTAGCATTTAGAGCAGTAGCATGCGTTGGACCTATACCTAGAAATGACGGGAGTTGTAGGGCAAGGTTTAGTATGGGTCGTAAGAGAGGGTGAAGCAATGAAGTAAGGCGGAAGAATAACGTCATTAAAGGGAATTGAGTGCAAATACAATGACAACGTCGTGGACAGGCTCTGCATCAAGAGAGCATCAACATCAGCAGAACGAGTAAGTTAGAACCACAGACTAAAGTCGGGAGCTCACTAGTAGTAGAAGGCAATGCGTGACTTGCATGCCAAAACTACAAAGGGAAAGACAAATAAAAATCGGATGTTAGAATGGCTTGATGATGAGACAAGTGAGCCTCATTGAGCACAAGCTTGTTCCACTTGTTTGGGACAATTATCCCAAGGTGACCGCACACGAAAATTGCTTACTAATGAAGCGCAACGGTGAAATACCGATTCATATTTGCAAACAGTATAAAATACTCCTCTAAGCAGTTATACTGGATTTTGATCGCGCTTAAGCTTATTTTTGACACATAATGAACCCCAGGACAAATTAAATTATAACTTTCAATAAGGGATCGAATGTGCATGCCTAGTGTCAGCTTCTCATGAAACCATATTTTTCAGCTCTACTCCATGCAGCCTTCGGTAGTCAGTTCCACCAATATGGTCGCTTTGGGCTCAAAGAAGAGTTCACTGCAGGTTAGTACTTATCTGTGCAACACTTTATAATGATAAATTGTTCCACTTGGCAAGTTGTACCCGAGATAGCGTACAGAACTGAGTGCATTTTTTCTAATCACTCATCCTTTCTCTCTTTCAGGTTAGTCCAGGAGATGCGCCTGAGGTAGTTCCAGTATCCGTGCAGATGCTCACTACAAAAACATCGTCGAAAGTAAGCACCTCTGTACGGAAATTTTCCCTTCTTGTGAAGTGCACGCAAATTGTCCACATGAATTGCGTTAGCCACGATTGACTGCAGGCATTAGATACGCAATATAGATATTTGCAAGAGATTCCTCTTTACGCCGAGCTACTCCACCGAAATGACATCCCAATCGTACCGACTCACAGATATTATCCTCTTTGTATCTGAGGTTCAGGCTAACACTAAGAATGCCGTAGGAATTGATTATTCTATTCCGCCCATACTTGAATCGAAAACACTTCCTGAAGATGTATGCTTACACACGATTTTTATTTTACATAAACACTATTTATGAGCACATTTTTGGTAGACGCTCGGTAGGTGACGCACATACATTTCGACTTCATTTTGTTCACACCAACCATCCTACGGGACGTGTCAAGCACCTGCTTTTATCCTGTGTTAAATCGTGGTTATTGTTCGTAGGTTTATGACACAAAAGCTCTCCAAACTAAGTGAAGCGCAGGCCGTTATGCGCCATTCTACCCAATCCGGTTTCAAAGTTAGGTAAATATTTATTTACCTGTAGCTAATAATATTGGTAACGAAAACGCTAAACGCAAAGAAAAATAATCATAGGTGTGGTAATGCATTATATTTTAGTAATTTGTTGATTGACAATATAAAGTCTGACGTTATAAAAGTTGTGATTGTTTCCTTGTTCGCATCACTTATATAGACTGGTACTTGGGTTGAATAAATTTCATCTGCAATCTATGTAGCATTATCGGCACGAAGTCGTTTAAAGGTTGTTACTGAGTAAATTCAATAACAAATATAAAATTTCACTACGCCGGTTTGTATACATGGCTCCGACGATGTAGATTGCAAAGCATTTCATAAGTTGGTTCTCTACGAAAAATCTAGCCAACGTGATCGTATACCATGGTGTTCTGCGAATTTCTCTCCAACAAACTGTTATAAGCTAAACCAAAACGATCTTCTTGAACCAGCAAAGTTGGGGACAGCTAGTACGAACTAACCACGCGCCCAATGTACCCACAGTGTCAGTGGAATTTCGAGCATCGCGCACCAATGGATTCAAACTTCTTGCTACGAATAATGATAGCATGATACTGGTAAGGGAAAAATGTAAACAGTCAGTCAGTTTGAACCATATTTTCGAGTGTCAGAAACATATACAAAGAACGGAATAACCGCGGATGATATACATTTCTGGACGCAACAGGCCCACACAGGCACATTGATACCACTGGAAAAGTCCTAAGGAGAATATGATTTCGATTAATAGGGAAACTAGCAAAATCGAACTACTCAGCCCTCCGAACAATCTAACAATTGAACAGCTTGCGCCAGCTACCAATGTTTCAAATTCTTCTGAATTTTTCTTATTTAGTGTTAGATTAAACTGGAGTGATTGGTACACTTTCATGGAATGAGTAATTTCCCCTGTGTTTTACCACCATGGAAATTCACCCTGAGTTCTTATTCATCGGTGCATTTACCTTGCTTACCAAATCCTGGAGGTTAATTCTCCTTAATAGACTCCACACTGTTTGTGACAACGGCACGTTCAATAATTTGTTCCATTAGCTAGCGAGTTCTGACCGATTCATTGAGCTGTCCACAGCTGTGTAGACAATCCCGAGAGTTTCACGTGAAATATTAGCTAAAACGCCTTAATTCGCCATTTGAGAAATGACCACGGGATGCGGATGTACCCCATGATGAACGATGTAGTCAAGTTAGCTTGACCTTAAATGACCTGTCGGAATCGATCAGGTTTATATGTCATTATGTGAAATTCGTGTTTATTTGATGCAATGAAGTCTTGACACGCTTGGGATGAAAAATTCAGGGTTACATAGGAAAATCGACAATGTGTAACCATCGCCATTTCCCTGGATCTATACAAGATTTATTTGTCAGTCGTTGCTCATTTATTTTGAGGCTTTCACTGCTTAAAATATCGGGTTTGGCATTCGTTTATTCTACTTCCTATTTGAAAGTCATTGACAAATAACACTAAAAGGCTGGGAATTACCGAAGGGCTAACAACTAAAATTTCTAATTAATTTAGAACCAAAACTCTTTCGGCTAATTCCGTCTCTCTATTACTCTTCACTCAAATTTATGTGCGCGTTATGATTCTGGAATGCTCAGAAATGCATATACCGCAGTCACTGTAGATATAATAATTATTCCATGGAATCATCATAATACGAAAGTGTCCCTGCATCGCCTCTTTATTTGCTGTGCTTACATTTTGGTCGCAATATCTCTTGGTGATTAGATGAATTCATACCAGACAACAGCTAATTCATAAGTTTACGTTTCTAGCCTAATTCCCCCAAATCACCGAGATCTGGGAGGTCCAGCCATGATCAAGATGTGCTCCAGGTAAATTTTGATTATATCACCCTTTCTTCAAACATCAGAGGTTGAAGTATATCAATATTTTTATATCCTAGAAGCTTACTCTGCATTAACCAATTATGTTTGTGCTACAATTCACCATCTACTGGGAGTTAGGTAAACCGGTACTGTAGACGGCTAAATTGTTTTCAATATAACACCAGAATTCCCTTATGGCCCGATGTTTTCTAGTGTTAGCACGATCTCACACATCTAGCCAACCATAATGTAATGATTCTGGCATATGGTTACTAAGCTTACTGGTTATCCAACCACTCAGCCATCATTCAGTCACATTATAACTCCTCACCAACAACTTCAAGTTATACCATCAGTTGCTAGATGTTCAATAAGCTCATTTTACTTCAGTTGAGCATAGAAGCTGAGCTTCATTTTTTCGCTTCCGATTTCGTGACAAGTAGCCTCCCATATATCAACCATTTTTATCCATTTCGCCATTGCTTTTGCTCAGAACAGTCTAAGATATCTGTGATTCAATAATCTGCTTTTCATGATGCTAAATACATTCGAGATTATTTTTGTTCGTCGCAGTCAGCTGACAATTCGGATAAGTCAACTACCTATCCGGAAAAGCACCAGACGGCCGTTTCGCCCTATTGGGGCTCGTCAGTGATGCGCATATAT